TTGAAGAGGATCAGGCCACGGATAGCGAGCACAAGTCATTAGGAGGATCCCCCCACGCTGTAATGTGGTATAATAGGAATGTAAAAGGACCGTAATATAGTCTTTATTATCGCTTGCAGTCACTATTCCAGGGTAGGGGGGCCTCCCAAACGATACATCATGCCAGTGGCTCGTAATCTGCCTACTGTACCTTGCATCTTGAGGCCAAAACCAGATCCAGATCCTGAGCCCTAAGCATCCACATATGCCGTAGATCTGTATCTCAGGCATTCCTAACCCCTTGACCCTAACACCTAAACCCTAAACCTTACACCCTTAGACCCTTAAACCCTAAACCCTAGAACCTTTCCGTAATATGCCTGCCCAGCCGAGGACGTACGACTGGTGCAGCTCATGGGACGGCACGAAGCACCTGGGCCCCACTAAGGATGGACCGATTTGTGCTAGGGGTTCCACACGGTTTAGGATTTAAGGTTTAGGGTTTAGGGGGGAGGGGGGAGCGTTAGGGTTCAGGATTCACTTTGAAGTGAGTTTGTTTGGCGTAGCTGAAGCTGATGTGGGGTGCTCCCAGGTGGCGAAGGTGCAACTTGCATGGCTGAGTATACCACATATATGGTGGCATGTCAAATTTTGTCCCATTTCAGCTTCCCATTGAAGTACGGCCCCCATTTCTAGGGTACCCGAAAATCGAGCTATGATTTAAGATTCCCCGCATCATCCCGATATGGCACCATGAGTGTTCCCTCATGCTCAGGTATGACTTGGTCTTCTACGGAGTGTCCGGCTACACTGGATATCTGAGACTTGGGCAAGTCGTGTGGGTGGAGTTCCGTTGATTGTTTGCGATGATGTCAAATGTAGGAGGGGGCATAGGGTAGAGAAAATGCCTGGCTTCTTGGAGGCTGTGATTGGTGGAAATGACACGCTTATTGTAGTGCCTGCCCGTAGTGCCAGTTGCATTGGTGCCAGACTCGTCACTCTTGACCTCATCATCGCCGGTAGCCTTCGGGCGAAATTGTGGCCAAGGATGATGGAGTACCTCAAGCGCGTGTCGCTCAAGCGTCGCCGGGCGGATGTTGTGAGTACTGCTAGCCATTTTACATCATTCTACCAAATCGTACGAGACTTGACGTACGGAAGATGCCCAATGTTATCGAGTGTTGTTCGTGGGGTAGTGCCCATGGTGTTTGGCACGGCTAGCCGTGAGAAAGGGAGGCTTCGCATGTTGTGTGTCGTGCCAGCTGCAGCCGCTTCATCCCCCCTGGCTGAAACCCTGTCCCCTTAAAAATGAACCCCCCTCTCCCGCAACAATGGATATTCTCCCATATGCAACCAACACATAGGGGAAGAAGTATTGGGAACCCTAATTATAAGTGAGTGGGGGAGGTCTTATCATTACGGGAGGGGACTACTTATGGCCCAGCCAGTGTGGTTTAGGGTACAGGGTTTAGTCCAGACATGAGCTGAGCTGACGGACTTCTCAGCAGTCTGATGTACACCGAGGACAATACGGGAGTTTCTTTAAACGGGCCTTATGATCCGTAGTAGATATCCCCACGGGTCTGTAAGGGCCTCCTATTATGAGAAACTCCCGTGTCAGCTTCAGTGAAAAGACGAGTCCCCATCCGGAGCGGGAAAAAGCTTTCTGAGTAGGTCCACTTCCCCTAGCATTAAAGCCCTCCGCTTCAATAATAAAACTCCCCATATCAAGGTATATACCACGATGGAGGTGATTAGATCCCCTTCCCCTCAGCATTCAACGGAAATCTTGGTTGCGAAGCTAAACCCTAAACGCTGAGTAGCTTGCGACGCTCAAACATGCCGAGTCAGCGCGGAAGACTTCACGTTCGCGTTTGCCGGACGAACTCCTGGCAGAGTGCTCCTTGGCTTGTCGTTGCATAGAAAATACTGTAAGGGAACCTTACGAACTACCAAGCTAATTAGGGTTTATTAGGGATGAGACAGGGATGGTGTAGTAGAGTCCCTTCACAGGGGGATGTAGGGGATATAGGGTTTAGGGTGTTTAGGGTTTAGGCTGCTTAAACGATTGCCAATATTATAGTAATAACGAATAAGGAAATGGTGAAGAAGAAAATGCTAAATGAAATGAAAACTGGGTCCAGATAGGACTTTAAAGGCATACTTGCCAATCTCATGTCCTAGCTCCTTGTATACTTGGAGTACTTCAACCGCGCCCCAACATGATATCGACAAGTATTTAGGCCCCTGTGTTACTGGTATTTGCCGATTTCTGTTATCGATCGAGGCTTCCAAAGTTATGCCCCTAAAAGGTTTTTCCCCAATACAGCCCCAATATGAGCTACAGTCTGAAGTCTAAACTCCTTAAGGGTGGATATGTAGGGGGTTTTATAGGGAGTAGTATAGGGTTATAAAGGGGATACTAGGAGTTTAGAATATATTCCTCATATAGCCCTTGTTACGAACCAATATTGTCCGATAGGGTTCCTCAAAAGGACAGGGCTAGAAACCTAGGGGCCCTAGGGGTACAAACCTGAAACCCCTGAATCAAAGGCCCGGGCTGAGGGCTAACGGTGGTGGAGACCTAAACACTAAATCCCTAAACCCTAAACCCATTTAGGCTTCTGGGGAAGGAACAATAGTCTCTGCAGGACTGGCTTTTTTGATTACAGTATAGCCTTACGGAATCGTTCAATATCGTTTTTTAGAGGTGTAGTGGGATTGCAGGGAAAACGTGCTTGCTCTGCAACATTCAGCATTTTTTCTTCTCACAAGTGCTAAATCACAAGCTTGCTGCTCTATGCTCTTTCAAGACTTGGTCTTGCAATCCAAGATGGATGCCCGCTTTGAAAGGCCTTCTGCGATGAATCCTTGTAGTGTCACAATTTTGTTGAAGTTGGGTTTCAGAAACCAGGGGTCTCGTTTAACATATTGGAACATCCTATTTATGGAAACCCCATATCAATCAGGCGCCTGATGGGAGGGCACTTCCCAGTTATGAGAATGAGCCTAAGCCTTCAATGGGCCTACCCTGGATACTAGAAATCATATTAAGCTCATGCAGGATCACCAATCTTGCGGTAAGAGCCACTGGGGTGACTGGATTGTCAACGGTTTAGGGTTTAGACTTGTGCACCTTGAGCCCTTAACCCCGAGACCTAAACCCAAACCCTAAGCCCTAGCTGTGTTGCGCCCCAAGGCAGTCATTGCGTGATCGTGAATTCGCCGGCACGCCATACGAGGTCCCAGATTTTTTGACCATGGCCCGCGTCGCTGAAGATATTCAGATTGTCAGTTAGCGGGAGTGTGCTGTTGCACTGACTGTCGAAAACGGAGCTCTGGAATGGTTCTCTTAGCCGATGCTTGCAAAGGATGGGGAATAGAGAGGGGTTAGTGAGAAAGCCGCGGCAAAGTTTCGTGAAACAGCCAGAGCAGGACACGCCAGTCATGCAGATGTCCTACGATGACCCCTACTCCATGATCGATCTGGTCGCTGATCTTTGTTTCAGACTTGTTTTCTGTTTTTCTTCATCTTTCTGTCCGTCGACTGGCCGCACAAAGGACAACAGGCGAACAACGCTGAATCTCATACTGACAGTAGAGTAACCCTATTACAACATTCAATCTACTGAGTTTCTCTTGGTGGGACAGTGCAGGTCAAGAGCGCCCGGTGCATCATCAACGTGGCAGGGCCTTACATGCTCACGCAAGGAGAGTTGATGATTGACTGCTGCATCTCCATGGGAGCCTCGGCGTGTCTTACAGATGGGTTGTGATGTCTGTAGTCTCCTTGCAAACTATCTTTTAGTGCATTAGAACCCTGAGGAGCTATTGAAGATGCTATCTTTATCCTAGGTCTATAGGGGGACTACAGATGCAGGGACGTGGAGCGTCCAAAAAGCAGAGAGCACGTAGGAGCGGATCCGTATCGCAGTCCCTCGAAGTCCCTTTTAGCAGTCCCCTTTTGTAGTCCCTATCTAGACAAGCTTTGCACTTCCCTTTGGATCCCTTACCCAGGTCCCTGTACAACCCCGAACAACAGTCCCTATATTCACTCCCCCAGTGCTCCGGAAGGACCCATAACAGGAGGGTAGCGAGCGAGCTGAAGCAAAGCAAGCGGGATATGCGGAGTTTAGGTTCAGGATTTGAAGGTTTAGGGTCCCCCACCTACTCATAGTGGTTTTCTAGGAATATATAGAGGTCCTGATACAATTCTCCCTCATGTTCCAAGCTTTTGGCGTTGAGGGCTAACCTAGTTCACATGCCTTTTCACGTTGCTCCTGTAGAGAGAAATCTTGCATATCTTGCATAGGATCCTCTTTAGACCTAGAGCAGACACCTAGACTTCACTGCTCCAAGGACCCACACTAACCCTCAAACGGACTTCGCAAGGTCCCACCTATTTAGGATAGAGTTTTGGGCCGTATTAGGCTTCCATACACAAGGCTTATTACATGATGAACGGTTACAAGGGAATGATATTGGTAACCATGCCGAGGAGTGCACTACTGCGATATCAGTGGAGAGATCCCATGGTCCAGACGCATCACTCCCCTGCACAAGCACGCCCAGAAGAGTCTTGGGCCTCATGGAGCTTTGGGATTACAAAGGGTAGTCATGAAGTATCTAATGGAAAAGAACATGGAACATGAAATGGAAACCTAGGTCCCTAAAGGGGTTATAGGAACATATCAGGGTTGTACCGGGTTTCGGGATGAAGATTCAGATGGAAGAAACAGTAGAAAATGAAAAGGAAGCTGGGCTTATGGGGAGGTTTCTGGGCATTGTAGTCGGAGGACACCCTGTATCATTACGACGTCTATTCCGTATCCTTACATCACTATAGAATGATCTGCCCAGATTCCCTTCTAATTTTCAGGGTCCTTGAGGGTAATACGTGGGCCCAGGTAATTGTCATGTTTATATAAGGAATCTACAAAATAGTACTGGTAATTACTCGCGCTTCTCTTACTCATTTCGAGATGACATGTAGGTATCCCCAGGCAGCGCAGGGTTTCCGCGATCCACACGTTTCGGCCTTGGTTAGGGGAGCCGGCGCTTCACAGCCAACCTGGAGCTAATTGAGGGAATCTTGAACCAACTGAGTTCCAGAATTGCTGCAACTCCTGGAGGTTTCCCAAAATTAGGGGTATTTTTTTGGGGGCCGCAGTAATAAGGCTTGTAATATTTTGGGTCTATATTAGGGTCTGCCTATTTTTGGAAATTGCCTCCTGGGTCCTAGGATCTGGGGTGCCTAGGGTGGTGCAGGATTTCTTTCATCAACCTTCTACCCCCTATGTACTAGGCCGTATCAATGAGCATTACGAAGGGATTATGCAGGAATCCCGATGTTTTAGGTCCTGAGAGAGCCTTGGGCAGGGGCGACCCTGCACCCAAAACAATCTCCAATGATATGGACGCCGCTTCCACTGGGATAATGACCAGTTCCGGTGCTGTTGCCACTATGCTTTGATGAAATCACGCCTGGTCTTTCTGCAGTAGGGCCATCCTCATTGCTTGTGTGGCAATGCTTGCTTTGCCGTATCACCCCTCTACCCTGTACCGCGCAGCTTTCCTCTCCTAAACCAAAACGGAATCGGGGGATCATTCCCAACACCCACTGGAAATCCGGACCCAATGATCGACCCCGACATATTTTAATTCTCACCATGGGTTCGCTGCACAAGCGACCCGAAGTTCTCGAAAACTCCCTGAGTATCATCGGAAATCTGGAGGAATGGCGCCTTTATCATCCCAAGTGCGGCCTCTGCGGGTGGTTTCCCAGATCTTTGCACCTTCCTGTGCGCAAAGCATCTTGGCCAAAAGGGTTTACTAGGTGAGCTTGGTTAAAAGCCCTGTTGTAGACATTTCCCTAAAGGCGGCCCTGTTTTGCAGATTCAGTGTAAAGCGATAAGGAACAAATGAGAACGATAAGGTTTTGTTTTTGCGGGATTAGCATATGGACTAAAGAGCATCCGCTGTAAAACGATAAGGAATCAACAAAAGCAGGTAAGGTTTCAAATAGATACTAGAGACCATGATAGGTTTTCCACACAAGCCCAGGTGGCCCGTGGCATAATTATTCAGGGTTTCTCTTATTGGTAAATACTGGAACCTGTTCATGAACAGTTTTGAGGGCCTTTAAAGTACCACCCCGGTTTCGGGTTCAGGGCCAGTGTACGGTTACCCTTCCCCAAATGTCCATGGAACCCGGTGGCCTTACGGGTGGGTGGGGGGCATCACCTTCATTGGGTGAGGTAGGTTTGGAGCAATCTTCACCTGTAGGGGGGTTCTGGCAGCCCAGCTCGCAATGACCGTATAAGAGACATGTGGTAGTCATAGAGTCTTCATTTGGGGGTGTCTGGATCATAGAACCTACTGGAGAGATCCTGTGTCTCGTTTTCTTGCATGGAGCGGCTGGTTGGAGCCATTCCTCGAGAAGAGTACAGGGAAGATCGTCGTAATGGTCAGGCTCCTGTTTTCGTGTCCTTCTTTATGAGAGTTGTCTAGTGTGCGCTGCTACGTAGGTAGCTGTTAAGGAAACCCGTTTAATTCGTACTTCTCTTCATGCACACCCTAGCTTGTAAGCGCCGTGCTCAACAGACTTCGTCTGCCTTGGCCATCGGGTAGCCAAGGAAGGCCCGAGAGGACTACAACGAGGAGCTGAGGACACTCACTGGTGCTTCAAGAAGTTTTGCAGGGATCAGGGTTACCCTGAGGGTCCAATCATTATCCCAATTATGCGTTTCAGTAGCCCTTGTAACATAGTCCTCGTTACCAAAACCCAAGTACTCAAGTATTGAATACTTGGACCCCTTGGGTGGGGCAGCGTCCGCATGTCTTTTTTAGCATCTGCACGGCAGCCGCATGTGGCGTCTCTTCCAGGGATGCAAAAAGAATATCATAATATGTAGAGAATGCTGCCGGCGGGACTGTGGGACAAGCAGGCTGGATCATGTGACGCATATCTGATAGGGGTCTTTGTGTTCCCAGTGGCCTCATGCATGACTTCTCATAAGCTTCGTTCTCTTTACGCTTGAGAGAGTCGTGGTAGTATCCTTCCTTGCTTTTGGGCTGCACCTTCAAGCGGGGTCATTGTTGGATCACGGGGTTTCCAAATATCAAGCGACCACGCATTCTTTGGCATTCTTTCATCATGGATTGGTAAGAACAGGCTTGTATTCTTAATTAGTGTGGCCCCGGAAGCGTGGAACCCCCGTGTAGCGTGTCATTTTCGATGTTGAAGCCCAATAAGAATTGTAGAGTCATAAGTCTAAGAATTCCCCAGCAAGAAACGGCAGCTAGGCATGGGATTGTGCTGTGACTGTGGCACAATCCTCAGGTAATGGTGTCATCATACGGCAATAAATCGCAACAAGGGGCCTCCTCAACTGGGATTGGGGTTGCCCAAATCAGAGGCACAGCTCATTGAGCGCCTGAAAACTTAAAAGCAGACCTTTTTGACTTGTAGGCTCTTGACCTTCAATGGCGGTTGCAAACGTGTTTGCACAATTTGCATCTAAGTCCAATAGGCAAGTAAAGCCTGAGGAAAGCCATTTGCTACGTGAACGGCGGTGGTGCCATTGCCACGGCCTCCGGAGGCGATACGCCAAGACAAACTCACTGCTCTTTTAGCCGCCGGGGGGTGCCTGTCGCCATCATGTCCTTTCTACAGCTATCAGGGGTCGTTTACGGTTTTGTTGCAGGGGAGAAGGCAATTCAGAAGTAATTCAAAACGGCCTAGGAGGATCTTTAGCAGATACTGCGAAGGGCCTGCAGGGAGATCAAAGGAACTCAGCACGGATGATCTTACCTGTGGTCAGCAAGGAATTTTAGAGCTGGCTTTGAGTTCTTTATTCGGAGGCATGTGTGGGAAGTTACAATTTGGGCCACAAGCCCCTCAAATAAGGTTACAGCAAGTTGCGTGTAGTTAGCCCACCTAGAACCCCAGTTTGAGTAATTACCACGCTGCCAGGTTTTGGGTTTGGCTCGAGTACCGCTTTGTGATAGGTTTCAAGCCGCAGTAAATGGGCGTTTTCATGAATTACGGAAGGACCAGTTTTGGGGAGTCTCAGTCATAAGGACTAGTATATAGGGGTCCAGATTGGGGTCCCACTACATACCAAGTCTCAATCGAAATCATCATCTTCTTGCTTGGCGGAGGTACCCTGAAGACCCGTGCCACGATGGCTGCCGGGGGTGACGAGACCAGGAAGATGATGGGCGATCCCTACGCGTGCCTGGGCTAACGGCGGTACCGGAGCTATAGTCGAAACTCCTGAAATGGGTTATATAGGGGGTTACATAGCCCATATGAGCCCTAGTCTAAACTCCTAGTATCCCCTTTAATAACCCCTATAGTAGTTCCCTATATAATCCCCTATATAACCCCTTTAAGGAGTTTAGACTATAGCTCATATAATTTACAGTTCCTATTCTAGGGCTTATTAAGGGGTATATTAAGAGTTTAAGCTACAGCCCATATAGGAGGCTGTGAAAGCTGGGGTTGATTTTGGGGGTGTCCTACAGAATGCAATGCGGCCCCTAACCAATCAGTTCAAGACATGCAAATTCAGATGTCATGCCAGAAGCCCTAAACCCGTAAACCCTAACAATATGACATGTACCCCAGGCTCGGAGGCTTTGTCCCGGACCGGGACCGTCACGGCATCAAGCAGCTGGGCCAGTGTTGTTTTGGTTTTGGGAAGGCCATTGAGGGTGCAACAGTTAGGGTCTCAAGGCTTTGCTTACAAGCGGTTTTAGGATTTGGCATTTAGGGCGTAGGGTTCTACTACTATGCCGGGTGTGACGACGGCTATAAATTATAGGGTTGGTGTTCCCAGTGTATAAAGGGACATCTAGGGGAACCCCCAAAAAGGAAAGCCCCAGAATATAGCAGGAATATAAGTGCCCTGGTGGGTACATTCTACTTTTTTCTTATATTCCTACCATATTCTTGAGGTTCCTTCAATGTCACTTTAGGCTGCTTGCTCTATGTTCGTGGCAAATTCGGAATTCCTTCGGCTCTGGGCATCGTCGGGATCTCCGGGCCCTTCAAAGTGGTTAGGCTTAATGCTTTAGGAATTTGCATAGAGTTGAGGACAAATTTCTGTGTGATTTTTTAAACTCACCTGATGGTCATGTTGAGAACAAATGTTTTGAAAGCTAGCAAATGCTAATTCGCAAGCCAAAGGTACCCTAAACCCCAAACTCTATAGACGCCTTTTAACAAGTACCCCTAATTATGGGAAACCCCATGTATCTGTTTTGTTCGTTTGTGTTATGCTGGATCTCCGGCTCTTCTAACTGAACCCTACACTGGCCTTTCATGCGGAGTAGCAAATGGGGTGCGTTATTATTAAACAACACAAAAATCCTAGACCCCAACGCTAAGCCCAAGCCTACTGCCCTGCATTGTTGGAGCGGGCCCCTAAACCCTGAAACCCTTAAATTCCTAAACCCTTAAATCCCTAAACCCTTAAGCCCCTAAACCCTTAAACCCCCAAACCCTTAAGCCCTTACACCCTAAACCCTTAAACCTTATAAACCCAAAACCCGGCCGGGTGACAAACAGCGAGGTATTGCAACATTGAGTTCGGCACTGGCCAGGTCACCACCAAGGTGGGTTGCGCCCCCTTCGTCCCCTCCATCCATCCAAACAATGAACCCACCACTAGGACCAGTCCCCCTTAAGTAGCTAGAATATGGGGTATATTGTTGGGGTTATATAGGCATAATGGAGAAGAACATGGAAACGACTATATCATAATATGAAAACAAGTGCCTCCCCCAAACACAGGGTTCTTAAGGCTTGGGATTCCGAGGAGTTCGTTTTCGCTGTTTTAGTTGTTACGTCATTGGTATTTAGGTACGCAGCAGGGCGCGGCTGTCTGAGACAACAGTCAGGGTCTGATTGCACGGATCTGACTTGGTCTCACAAGTGCCCGGAGTCCATGGAGTGATTGCTCATTAAGGAAGCCCAACGAGAACTCCATATCAAGGGTCCTAAGGCATGAGAGCTTAGGAAGACCTTAGCAACCCTAAGCGCGGCCTAAGGATTTCTGATTTAGGAGGCATCCCTGCTGTTCTTGTTTGAAATTTACTGGGGGGTTAGTCGAGAATCTTTTTTAGGGATCATGTAGGGATAATATTCCCTTATTCCTTCCTAAGTGATGACTGTAATCGCTGATTCGGCTACCCTTTTCAAGACATCACGAACTCCTTGTCCAGTATGGTTCGTCAAGGGCTCCAGCATACGTATCGCACTGCAGAAGGGTTGTGGGCTTGTTGGCTTAGCTTACTGGTGGTTGGTAGGGAAGAAAGGACTATAATTCCTATATAGAATAAAATATTCCCTTATTCCCTACTAACCCTAAACTCCCTACTAACCCTAAACCCTAGGAAGTAGGTATTTCTACTTATATTCCCTGGTAACACTCAGTAAATTCGGGTTCAGGATGACGGGGCAGGAATATTTCTAGCTACAAGTGGTGAAAGGAGTGCTGATTGGCGATCGGATTGGTTGACTTGGTGTGCTTTTGTCTGTTCAGATTTTAACTCTCTTGTTCCTCGAAGGTAGCACTTGCAAACCGGCTTCTGGAACCCCTCGGTAATCCAAGGTGTCTAAGAGTAGGACGTCTGCCAGGTGCGCGCCGAAGACTTGGACGCCAACATGTCCAAGATCTCCGTTGCTTGCCTGCGGGTTTCGGGTTCATACTAGCTGGGAACCTAACCTGTTCCAGTATACATGATCCTGGCATTATCAAAGATGTTTTGTTTGGCCAGGAAGCTCCGCAATTAGGGGTTTCTGGTGTGCCTGCATTGAGAGTCAGTGGGGAAGACCGTTGCTAGCTAAAGGGACCTAGCTCTGAGAGACTGCTAAGCGGATCCTTTAGCAGGTGCATGATAGTCACATCATTCCAGTTGCCAGTGGCCGGGGTAATTTGCAAAAGTTCCTGCTATGCTGCAAACGTTGGCTGCAAGGAAGACAAGCACTTGGGCATTTGGCGTGGGCCAAACGTGTGACCTGGCTTTTGAAGTGGAGTGGAGCACCACAAGACAGCAACAGCACATATTCGTTTTTGAGAGTTCAGGGTTCTCAAAAGCTTCAAGGCTCAACGCGGGAAGGTTTCCTATATACAGCATTGGCAGAACGTCCCCACAAGAGGCCAGCGAGAGATGCCACCATGGTTCAGAGGTTCATCTGGCCAATCGAAATTGGGTTTCGTTCCTTCTGGGTTCACAGGCTATACTGTAGTCTCCTTAGGAATGAGTAATTTCAATTCTGGTGTAACCCTAAGGAATTCTTGAACATATATTTTCAGTATAGGTCTCAGGAGACTACAGTATAGCTCTGGGTTCTCCAAATATTAGGGTTCCTTCTTGGGGGTCCCCATAATACTAGGATTAGGGTTTAGGGTTTAGGATAGCATCTTGGGCTCTAGCTCTTGGGTTCAAGTTTCCGGTTGATTTGTCCCGGTCCCTGCGCGAACTAACAAGTATTGAGCCTGCTGGCGTCTTTCCAGAACATGCCCTCAGGAGTTCCAAACGTCTGTGGCAAGGTTTGAGAATATGCTTGTTGGACATGCCTCGCGGCCCCTCCTTACAGTATGTCTTACGGCCCATGTTTCAGAAATTGGAGATATTTTGGAACTGATTATGTGACTCTTGGAGGCTCATTGCGCTTGAAGACGGAATCGTGAGCATTTTGGATATTCTCGTTGGACCAGCACCTCTGCCCTCTTCTGCACACGAAGACAAGTGTAAGGCTTCCGCAAGCAAGGTGCCGCTGGGTATGGAAACCTCCACTTCAAAAGCAAGCAATGCGCTGGTAATAGGGACAATTGGGCTCATGCACAACCTTGGCTTGCGCATTCCTTAACCTCCCACCTAGTGTAAAAGCCTAACTTGCTTCTTCTTATCAGGGACTCAGGGAATATAATAATCCCTATACAATCCCCATATAACATATTCCCGTATTCCATACTGAGAACCATTAAGCCGAATATTCCCAATATTGTGGTCTCAGGCACCTTATCGATGTACAGTCTATAAGGGTATCTGAGATAGACCTCACAATGGGATTGGTAATTGCTTAAGCTTCTACATGGTACTACCCCTCAAAATTCGACTGTAGAAGTTGCCGTGCATCATCTTGGCTCTTATGGTCCTGAAATGGAATTCTTGTAGTCCAGAGGAGAAAGAAGAGATTTCAAGACAATTTACTAGAATGTCTACTGTATGTACTGCAACCCTAAACTCTTAAATCCTCACCCCCCCAAACCCCAGGCCCAAACAAAAACTGCAGCCAAAGTCCCCTGCCGCCAAAACAATTCAGAAGAAATGCTGAGTCTTTTTGGTCTTGTGTCCTGCAAAGTTTGTCTGATGGCCCGAGGTACTCCTACTTCGATACGCGCATTGTCCGCCGCTCCAACATGCTGTTGGCAGACATGGGTGGCTACTGTTACGGGAAGAGTTTGAACTTCCTGCAGTTCTCCGTCCTGCCGACAGACGCTCGCCCTTAGGATTAGCCTGTTGCCTCTCACAAAAGTCGTTCAGGATGCCTTCAATCGAAGGTAATTACTTCCTTCTTTACCAAACGTCCTATTGTCTGAGATGTTTCAAAAGTAGATGTGGGCGAATGCTTAATGCTAGGGTGAAGGGATCACTTGTGAAGGCTCAGTGCCAGCAGCTCATTGAGCCCAACTTTCCCAAAGACCTTACCCAACACCATGGAGACTGCTGCATTCTGCCTCCAACTCTGGGATCATGGCACGCAGAGCCCTTACCTATTCTACAACATGACTACAAATTTGGATGTTGGCCGACACTTAATAGGATGGGGCCGGCATCCAGCCTCATATGTATGTTCCACGGGCGTTTAAGCCAGATCCCAAGCCCTGAATAGGGTTTAGGGTTAAATGCTACTCCCCTAAACCTTAGACCTGAACCCTAACCCTGAGCCCTAAGCACAAAGCCCTCGAGACTCTGCTTCCTCCCATGACCCAACCCTAAACCCTAAACCCCAAAGTGCTCCAACCTGAGGAGATGCTCCTCCAGGCAAAGGCTGGAGGAGGCGGCGGCGGAGGAGGCTCATGGTATAGGGTGTGTGTAGTCCCCTTTAGGGTTTTACAGGGATTTGTAGGCTGCTTTAAGAAATATACAAAGACTTGCAGGCCGCTTCAAGGATATACACGGAGTTTATGGTTCTCTGGGTTCAGGGTTCAGGGTTTAGGGTGAAAACCATGGGGCAGTTACCCGCTTTAGTGGTAGTCCCCATAGCCCTAACCTGAAACCCTAAGCTTACTTCTCGCGCATAACGTAGAACGGAAGCGTCAATACTTACCAGCACTATGGTCCCGGGTTCCCGGTACAGTTATAGTCTAGGGTACCTCAAGTAGACTTCAAAGGTTAGTAGTAGTCATTCCGGCTTCCACACCATAGTCCCTATACTCTCGTACATAAACCCAGTTCCGTTTCATTTTCCATCTTTTTCCATTGGATTCTCTATCATTGAGGCCCCTAAGTTCCAAACCCCATATACAGCCTACAAAATTGGTAGTCATTTAAGGCCGAAACCGCATATACTCCCTATAAAATTGGTAAACAATTGGTAATCATTTAAGGCCCAAACCCCGTTTACTCCCTATAAGATTGGTAATCATTTAAGACCCTTTTGGTACATTTCCAAAACCCCATCCGCAACACCTCCTCTAACGTTACCCGGATGAAGAACAGGCGGTGCCACCGGTGGCAGCGTTGAGGCGGAGAAGAAGGCCCTGGAGGCCAAGGGTCCCTTGGCCGCCTCATAGAGAATCATGGTGTTCACCGTAGTCTCCTATCACACATAATATTTCTATTCTAGGTCTAAGGAGACTACACTTCAAGGTGAAGCGTTTCAGCGTTCCAGGAAGACAGCGCGCACTCAAGACCTTCAATCATGGATTCCCTTACCGCCTCCCAAGTTTCCATTGAATTAGAGTTCGTAAGCGATTGTTCGGGCTAATGAAGGCAAGTGGAAGCAAGGGGGGGGGAGTACGGGGCATGGTAAGGGGGAGCCCACGCTTTGAGATCAACCAGAAGTTGTGAGCCCTTGAGCCTACAATGACACTCTCAGGGCACAAAATCAACTTGCTTCCATTCAACAAAACCCTCTCAAAGTGTTCAGGCCTCATTCCTTCACCCTAAGCCCGAAGCCCTCGGCCGAAATTGTACACTCTAGAGAACACGCCCCCAGTCGTCCTAAACCTGAATTCAAGAGTTTAAATCAAGACCCTGGAACAAACGGCCCCAAACCAAAACCCTAGCAGGTCCTTAAGACCAACACCGAAAAGCAAAATGCCGTGTGACCACAACGCCAAAACTCTGCAGCAAAAAGCCTAAATCCTAAGTCCCAAAAAGCATCCCTAAACCCTAAATCCCAAACCCTAAGCCCAAGGCGTGTACTACGGAGCTGGCGAGGGGCCTCCTCTCGAGGAGTGGCCAGGTTGCAGAGAGTGTTGTCTCCCTAACAGGTTTAGGGTCTTGGGTTCAGGGTTCAGATTTAGGGTTTAGGGTTTGGAGGTTCAACTAGCACGGAGTGGGTTTAAGGCTTATAGGAATTAGGATTTTAATGGTCCAGAATGTAGGGCTAACGGCTTAGGATTCTTCAGCTTTGCTTTGGGGTTTATTGGAAGTTTCCTGTTCCTAAGAACCATTTGAATGTTTGATTTCTACCAGGGTCTCAGGGAACCTGGAGTCTAGGGTTTGAGGTTAATGGTTTTAGGATGTGAGGTTAAGGGCTAAACCCTATAAAACCCAAAACTCTAAACCCGAAGCGCTAAAACCCTAAACCTCAAACCCTAAAACCCTAAACCGTCTAAGGGTTTGAGGCTTGTGGGCTTTTGGGGTTCAAGGCCCGAGCTTATCGAGGAGACCTCTCTGTGGGTAGTTATCAGGGGGGCACCCTTCAAGGGCGCGGTTTAGGGTTTAGGAATCAGGGTTTAGGGTTCAGGGTATAGTAGAGGGCTTAGGTATAGAACTTATACAAACGGATTTAGCTTTCGATTCCCTACAAGCCTAAACCTTAAGACCCTGAAGCCCTAAATCCTAGACCCTAAAGTCCAAAAGCCCCAAATCTCAAAACTTTCTACCTTAAACCCTGTAAGCTCCAAATAGGCCCTGAGCCGAGGCTTGACGATGCTTGGAGCGCATGGTTTGTGTGGGCACAGACTGAGAAGGGGCATGAGGCACGGCGGTCGTGAGTTGAGGGTATGGCAGCTATAGTCTAAAGGGTTTAGGGTTTCGGGTAAACTCCTGAAAGGATATGAAACGGGATACTAGGAGTTTAGACTATAGCTCATGTGGAATACGACTGACAACTGTTACAGTTGTAGACGTTTGGGGGTAAGGAAACTCAGCAAGCGAGATCACGCTAGCATTGGAAGGACCTGTTGTGTACAAAGATTAGGGTCCCCACATGCAATATTAAGTAATCCTCGAATAGGGTCTCGAACGGGACCACTTTTTTATGATATAACCCATTATAGTAGTTTCCGTTTTCTTTTCCCTTATCCCCCATATAACTGCAATATAACCCCTATATGTCCCCTAATAT